CATGCACACATGCATATAAGTTCTGTGGTTTATCTATCCCCCACCACTCCCTTTTCTGGGGATTGTCAGTCTGTACCCCACTTCCATGTCTCTGGGACTACCCCATTCCTCAGACTGTTATGTTCATTATATTCCACAAATAAGTGAGATCATATGATACTTGACTTTCTCTGTTTGGCTTGTTTCACTTAGGATAATACTTTCCAGGTCCCTCCATGTCATCTCAAAGGATAAGAGATCTTTCTTTCTTACAGCTGCATAGTACTCCATTATGTATATGTACCACTGCTTTTTTATCCATTCGTCTACTGATGGGCATTTGGGCTGTTTCCAGATCTTAGCTATTGTAAATAGTGCTGCTACAAACATGGGGGTACATATATTCTTTCTGATTGGTGTTTCAGGCTTCTTAGGGTATATTCCTAGAAGTGGGATCGCTGGGTCAAATGGAAGTTCAATTTTTAATTTTTTGAGGTAACACCATATTGTTCTCCATAGTGGCTGCACCAGTCTGCATTCCCACCAGCAGTATACTAGAGTCCCCTTTTCTCCACACCCTCACCAACACTTGTTTGATGATTTGTTGATGGTGGCCACTCTGGTTCAGATGTCTTCACTAACGTGATTTTGCTAGTACATAAAGAGAGGAATGACTCATATTAATAATATTCACAGACAGATAAAGAGTAAGAACTTATTATTTTACCAAAAATATACTTGCATTATGGATCAGAATACTCAAACATAGCAGTGTATAAGAGGGACGTATTATTATAAGCAAGTTGTTTAATTAGTGGCCATTGAGAAGCTTCTCTGTTTAAGTCCATCCACAATCTGGATTAGATTTCTCTATTCGACTCTCTCTTAGCACGCTAATAGAAAGCTGATTAGCATGATGGCTACCTTCATTGGATGTATGGATTTAACTATCAATTGTATCTCATTCTTCATGCCCAAGTTTGTGGGAAACAAACCACTAGAGTATAGGATAGGTGAAGTGGAAGGTCATAAAAAAGAGAATAGAAGCAACTGCATATGAAGGAGGAAAAATCAATCAAGAAAACAGAAGATTCTTCTTTTCCGCTTTGTGAGCCATGGGTTTTGACAAGTAGGTACTTCCTTGTTAGTACGACCCATTTTGAGGCTGTTCCTTTTGCTCACTTGTCCAGTGCTAAAATTAGCTTATTATTCTCAGTCTAAAATTCTAAATTGTTGATAATTAATAGCAAACGGTATGAAACTCATTGGCAAAAATGCAAAAGGTGGGGTTGGATTTAAATTAGAGGCTGTTACAATGTTGCTCTGTTTCAGCTGGTTTCCCCAGGTATTTCTTCTAACTGATCTTCATGGACCCACCCAGGGAAAGGGGTCTTCAGCCTTAACTGATCCCTCTGCCTGAGGCAGGCTATGAGGGCAGGGAGTACCTAAGGTGGAGGCAGAGGTTCCTGAAACCAGTAGGCTAATGCTGGAAATATTTTTGGAGGGAAAGGTGTTGGAGGATGGACAAAGACAATAAATCTGAACTTGAGCTAGCCATCTAGGGGTCTATGTGAACAAGGAGATCATAGGCAGGGAGCCCAAATGGTTGTGGGCATGGAGGCCACAGAACCACAGAACCACAGAAAAGGGCAATGCTCTATACCAGTTATGGAAAGGGAGAGAGAGACATGCTTGCAGAAGCTTTTATTTACTACAAGCACGGAGATAAGTCAGGCTGATTTAGTAAGGCTAGAAAGAGGTAAACATCTTCCCAGAAGTTTTGACCTTAGCCATAACATACTCTGAAGTTTTCTTTAAAAGTATTTAATAAAAATTTTTTCTTATGACCCTGGCTGGTGCAGCCCAGTGATTAGAGCATCAGCCCACACACTGAAGGGTGTCAGGTTTGATTCCCATTCATGGGCATGTACCTGGGTTGCAGGTTCTATCCCCAGCCCTGGTCTGGGTGAGTGTAGGAGGCAATAGATGAATGTATCTCTCTCATATTGTTCTCTCCCCTGCCCTTTCCACTCTCTCTAAGAATCAACAGAAAAAATGTCCTTGGGTGAGGATTACAAAAATTAAAAAAAAAAAAAATTCTCATCTTCAACATCTGACACACTATTGGAAAATCTCTTCAAATATTGAGAGCCACAACCTTTTGTTATGAAACTGATGAGAGCATGTGTAGCTGCTTTTCAAGGGAGTCTTTCTTCATCAGTCTTGGGATAAATGTGCCCTGAAAACATACTGTTTTGCTCATTGTACCCAGAGAAAAGGTGACAATAGCAGTGTACTCTGCTTCTCTGTTTACCAACTATCACCTCTTAAGAAATTCGGGGTCTTCTTTGGAAGGAGGAAGATCTCCATCCCCATTAGACACTTCTGGACTTTTTTTTCAGGAAGGAGAGAGATTTACAATAGACCTGGTTGAATTTGTGGGAGAAAATAACAACAAAAAGAATTGAATCTTGGGCTACAGCAAGCAGAAAATCCAGGAGATTCAATGATGGGATCTGCAGAAATTATACTCATTGAAAATGTGAAAAGAAAGCTAGGAGGGTGTGCTCAGTATTTGATTAAAGGCAAAATAGATGCTGGGTTTGAAAACAAGATATACTAAATGAACCAATCTTTAGAGACACTAATCCATTCTTGTGAAATTTGGACATATTTAAAGAGCACACCTTCTTCGTTACAGTAGTATCAGGCATTTAAATTTACATTGCAAAACTGTAGTTCAACCAGATTTGGTCCCCACCCCTTAAATCTCAACATATATATTAATATATTATGGTATGTCTTTAATCTTCAATTTACAAACAAATGGTTATCAACGCAGGTGTTTTAAATTTGGGGAGGCAATGTGTGGACACGTTTGATTTTTAAAATGGCCTTATATCGTTCATCTTCAAAATGTACTCATTTTGTACTCGGGGGGTTGTAAACTTTGCTGTAAGTTATTTATCTTTTCAATGTAGTTCTTATTTTGTTTGGAAAAAAAAAAAAGAGGAAGCAGTTAACTACTTAAGGACAAGCGGCACTTCCAGACGCGCGCGCACGCGCGCACCCAGCATCCATGCACTTCAGCACCGGTTAACGCACTCGCTGTTTAGACATGTGTCCTGACTCCCAACTCCTGGTCCCGGTCAGTGATCACTCGCACCAGGAGACCAGCCTCCGCAGGGACTGCTTCCCCTCGCTTCCTCTTTCATTCCACCTTAAAACTCCTGCGAAGACCGAAGGAAACCAGCCCACAGTTAGCCCCTCCTACGCAGGGCGAGACTTAAACTTCTCTTTGGTCCGCGGCTGAAAAAGGATCCCGACAGAGAGCTGGAGGCCGAAGCAGCTCATGTCACTCTGGGAACTGTAAGCAATGTATTTACTCTTTCCCGCCCGTCCCTCTCTCCCCACCCCAGTCTCCAGTGTGTGTCTTATTGGAAGGAAAAGGACGGAGGGGATCCGGTCGTCACTGCGTTGAAAGCGCGCCCGTCCTCTGCCTTTTGAAATGAGACAGATCGGGGACTTCATGTTCTCCTGACAAATGCCAGTTTGATTTCCGGGGTCTAAATGCACTGTGGGGTGGAAAGATACGGTGTTTCCTTCACTTACAGCCGAAAGAAAGCCAACCCAACACTCGAAACGCAGCGAGGTGGCGCTTCTCAGGGCGCCACGTGATGCCACCCCCGGTCAGGGATCCCCGGACTTGAGCAGCGTGCGTCTGACAGCCCTAAGGCTCCTTAGCCTTTGCGTTTCTGGACCCGTTTACCTTTTGATCAAAACATAGTCATTTCGGTTACTTATGCAAAGCGTTGCTGAGTATGTCATGTGTTGCAGTGTTATACAGGGAAAAAAGACAATACTGAAAAATTAATTGTGAAGGCTGGTATTCTGATGCGCCCTTTCTCGAACTTAATGGTGGGGGGCGGGGAACAGAACTCCAAAGTAGATACTGGAAACGTTTTGATGAAATAATGATAAAGTTAAGCTTTGAATGTGAATACTATTTTAGTAATTTTGTTTCAACGAAGCAGTAAAAAAAAGGCACTGGGTTGAAATAATAGTGGCTCAGCATAGCTAGCGCTCCTACAGTTTATAATCATTTTAGTCTTAAAAAGAATAATTTTCACCTTAAAAACCGGAATAAGAAATGCTCTACCTATTGGCTGATGATGTAGGCATCTATTCCCCAGAGGCAGATGGAGAGAAGACTAGAGGCATCCCGGGAAGGGTGTCAATTATGTTATGATAGTTGTATAATTAACCCTTTCAAGGACAATTTGTGTTTTGGTTTGTTTCTGTTTGTTTCATAAATGTGTTGTAGCCCAAGACATATTTTCAGGGAGTAGTGGTGAAACAAACCTTGTCAAAAGTTTTAAAATTATTTTCTAGAGGTCCCTAGACCTTGCCAGTTGCGTCTGATGTCAGGAACAGAAACAGTTATTTGCTTCTTTCATTGAGTGGAGGAAGAGCTGAATTTTACATTAAGCAATGATTGTGAAATGCCCAGAGAAGTGTTTAATCTGCATTTGTTCACAGCAGCTTTAGAAACTTCCTGCCAGGGAGGCACATATATGGGACGAGAAACGAAGCAAACTACTCAATAATTTTCCTTTTTCTAATTAAACATAAGTGATCGCTTTCGAAGTATTTTGCATTTATGTTTAATAGGAAAAGGAAAATGATTGAATAGATTTTTTTTTTTTTCAGGACCCGAAGAAGTCCGCAACATAGACATAATTTGGCCTTTTTTTTTTTAACCCATCAGTATCGTTCTTGGTGTTACTGCTTAGAAAGCAAAGTCATGAAACCAAATTATTTGCATATTAAAAATATGTTCCAGGAATAAAAAAGAGGAAGACAGAATTAGCTGTGGTTCCTTTTTCTCTCATATGCTTTTTATTTACTACCAGTTTTTTTTTTTTGTTTTTTTTTTCCCCTCTCCTCTTGCTTGCAGACTTTATAGCTTTAACTAGTCTCAACTTTTTTTTTTGGTACCTGCCCCTAGCGGGAACTGAACCCGGGACTCTCTGGTCCACAGGCCCATGCTCCAACCGTTGAGCCAAACCGGCCAGGGTGCAATTTTTTTTTAATTTAAATCACAGACCCGTTTACAAGTATTAGGAAAGCTGTAGACCCTTCCCCAGAATAACGCACACATATTCCTCCAACAAGCACACATTTGGAAACAGCTTTAGGAAGTTCATACCCCTCCCCCCCAAACAATTCATGACAACATAGTCTTTCTTGGAACGTTGAGGTTTTCTGATAATATCAAATAATTACCACATCATTTTACTTATAAGTAAAGGGTTGCCTAACAGTGAATATTGATTGCAGTACCACACTGCTCACTTATTCTTTGGAGCTCTGGAACTCGAAGTGGTTTAGTGCAATAGAAAAACGACTTGCCCGGAAACCAAGTGACCTAGATTCGAGACTTAACCCCAGTCATCACTAGCGGTTCTGTATTAAGCTTGCTGTTTTTCTGTAACATCTGATATTCTTTTGTTGCTGAAGGAAGTAAGTAAAACATAGTAGTAAAACAAGGTGTAAGTTATTTCTAATTGGATTGTGGGACGTCTATATTTTGCTCTTTTATTTCTAAATGCCTAACTATATTTCCCAGCACGATTATGGTTTATAATATTCTCATTTATTATAAAGATAATTCATGCTCACTGTTTAAATTTCATTAAATATAGTAAATTACAAAGAAGTAAAGGGAAAAATTACTTATAACCTCCTAAATGGGCAGCTTCTTTTAAAATGTCATTCTTTCATTTATTCTATCAACAAATATTTATTGAGTAACCAGCATGCATCGGAAGAGAGACAGGAATTCCTCTATGTACATCTGTTTATACTTGTAGACATTTTTCTATGCATGCACTCACATGTGGATGTTATAAAATTGTGATCATACTTGCTGAAAGGTAAACTGAGGCATATTAAACTTTAAGAGTTTATTTGAGCAAAGATCAGTTGAAATGAGGCAGTGCGAGACTGGAAGTGGTGGACAGCGCTTTACCGACAGAATCTGGGGCAGAGACTTTTATAAGGAAAAAAGTGGAAGCAAAGGAAGGAAATTATTGACTGGCTATAGCTTAAAGCTTAGTTGGCTGTTTGTGATAGGTTGTCCTTTGGTTTCAATTTTGTAACTTTGAGGCATTTACAGGTTTAGATTTTGGTTCCTTACTTATGTAGTTCACTGGGGCATTAAACTAATGCTTAGACTAATGGCCTTCTTATTTAATTAATTTAATACACTGTTTTCACTGTTTTATAACATGCATCTTCCTCAATCATGGACTTTTCTATTAAAACATGATTTTCTTTGTACTCATGCATTGTTTCCTATTTATTTATATCTTAAATATTAGTTCCTACTATATGTAATGCACTGTGAGTAATGGCAGTCTATCCATGGAGGAGCAAGAGTGTGGTTCTCACCATGATGTAATTTTAGTCTGTGGAAATGTTGTACTGACCGATGATAAGTTGTCATCGATATCTAGATTATTACAATTTTCCACTACTATAAATAATGTTTCAGCTAGGACCTCTTTTTTTTATCCTCACCAGAGGACGGTTTTTGATATTTTGTTCAGATAGAGTGGGAGGGAGAGAGAGAGAGAGAGAAACATCGACAGGAAAGGGACACATTGAGTGGTTGCCACCCACATAACCCAACCAGGGCTTAGGACAAACTGCAACTGAGGTACATGCACTTAGTGGGAACCGAACCCAGGTCTCTCTAGACCACAGGCCGACACTCTAACCGCTGAGCCAAACTGGCCAGGGCCAAGTAGGACTTCTTTTTTAAAAAAAAAAAAAATTTTTTTTTTCTTTAATGATTTTATAGAGAGAGTAAGGGAGAGGGAGGGAGAGATAGAAACATCAATGAGAGAGAGCATTGACTGGCTGCCTCCTGCACGCCCCCCACTGGGATTTGGCTCACAACCCGGGCATGTGCCCTGACCAGGAATCCAACTGGCAGCTTCTTGGTCCATGGGTTGACGTTCAACCACTGAGCCACACTGGCCAGACTAGGACCTTTTATATAAATGTTTGTGCACATCTTTGCTTACTTCCTTTGCATAGATTCCTATAAGTGTATTTTCCAGGTTCAAACCAAGTTGTGAGATAAGCCAATCATTGCTTTAGCAAAAAGTTCTTTTCTCAGCTGTGAAATAGACAAATAATAATAATTGATTATTTGGAGGTTTCCTAAAAATATTTAGCTATATGTCATGGAATGGTAGTTATTATTTTTGCCACTTTGTTCTTGAGAAAGGTTATATCCATTTACAGTAGTACAAGAGAGTAGAATTTCCCTAAGCCAACATTGGGTTATTACTAAAACACAACAAACAACAAATTAAAAAGTTAATTATTACTATACAAAAATGGCAGCTTGTTTGACTTTGCATTTCTTTCAGAAATAAGGTTGAACAATTTTCAAACTGGCTGATAGCAGACAAAATGCGGGTCTCTTCCCCAATGGGTGCTAGGGGTGGACTTCTTATGATGTCCCGAGAAAAAGAGTTTTCTGAGACTCGCATGGGAGAATGAGTGATTTCTATTTGTGTGGAGTTCAATCGCTGCATTTCCAAAGTCCCATTTCCCTTAGTCCGGTCATAGAGGAAGTGCAGCTGGGGTTTCAGTAAGGCTAGAAGCAAAGCCAGTGTCCAGTTTCCTTGCCATGTCGAAGACAGGTCCAGTACGGCATCAGGGTAGTTGCATTTCATTAGTCCATTGTGTGGGGGGTTCCGCATGGCTGTGGGCCACATGGGCGAGCACCAGGAAGCCAAGCATGAGCTATGAGCCAAGTGTGCCAGGAGGAACCAAGAGAGCAGCCTTCTTTGTTCAGGGGATTATATACCCCAAATTTCCACCCGCTTACAGAGGACACACCCATTCTCGCCATCACTCCTTCCTCCCAGATGTGACTGACAGCAAGCACCTGCCCTAGTCATCCTAATTCTGCTGGGCATGCATCTACCTACCTTCCCTTTGTCCAAACCATTCCCACAATGCTCTGCAGGGAACATGCCTATAATGTCTGGCCTTCCCTTTGCTCCTTTCCTATTATTAATAATTAGCTAATTACAATGGTGTCTATGGTTATGAATGACCTCTTTCAATGTGAGTTTAAATATTTTTTTTTTCAGTTTTTATTTCTAATTTGGTAGATATCAATAGATATAACTAACATAATCAAAGGCCCTTTGGGGTCCTCAGTTCGGAAGAGTGTTAGGGGTCTTGACATCAAAGGCTACATTTCGAACTGGAATAGAAATTCTGGAAACATTGCGTTTCTCAGTTTTGAACGATTAACCACATTGTTTCCCGAAACCCTTTCTCTAAAAATGGGTGCGATTCAATGAAAAATGAAAGCAAGTCATATTTATTCACATAGACTGTCATGTTCTGCAAAATTAGGGAAACTGAAGAGGGTTTTGAGATGAGGGTCAAAATTCCTGTGGACTCTCCCACGCCTCTAGGAACATTGCTTAATGCAAACAAGAAACCTGAGAAGGACATGAGGGTACCTGACAGAGGTTTTGTAAGAAAAATCGTGTCCGTGTTTGTCATGAACCAACTTAGAGAAAATGAATTTAAATTTTAGTGAACTCTGCATGTTCTGCTCTGGTATTTTGGGCAGCGGTAGTTGGGCGAACCCAAAAGTTGGTTCTCGGGTCTTTTCAAAGAAGATAGTTAGTAGAGCAGAGAGTGTTCTGGTCTTTTGATACCATGACCTGCACGTGAAAAAAAGCGATGCACCAAACTTTTGCTACTCTTATAGCTATGTGAGTCTGTTCTTTGATTCTCTCTGATTCTTAGTCCGCCCTTACAACATTCTTTGAAAATACAGTTTATCTCTCCTTTATACAACTAGGAAATAAGCTTACATAATTCAGTGCTCACCAAAGTTACACTACCAGCCTAACCGCTTATTTAATGAATTCGGATGACTAGAGAAACTCAGCAAACACCTGTCAGCGATCCTTATCAGAGTTGAACAACCTCTGGGTCAAAGATGATGGGCCGATAGGTTCTTAGCACATACAGTTGTAAATAAATCAGTTTACCCCTTTTCCTTAATCTTTCTCCTCATTTACTTGACTTCGGAGTCTACAGGGCTATTTAGGTATTTGAGGTAAGAGCATGTTTTGAATGAGAACACAGATGTGTAATTTGTCTGTAACGTGCAATTTCAGTATTCTACAATACAGAAAACTCGTATGTATTTATAATACTCAGCTTACACTTGCTTCGTTTTTCATTTTGCGATTACCTAATTTACCATAAATTTTCTGAATATCTAGTTTGAACAAAAATATCAGTGGGCCAACGATATCTTTCATTTGCACAGCATTTTGTGGTTCGTGAAGAGATGACCCGAGAACTTTATTCCTACAATAGCCTTGCAAGTTAGCGGAGCAGAGAGCTGCATCTCACAGATGTGAAAAGAGAAATGTTGAAACAGCAAATGACTGTATTTCATGCCCAGGTCATATGCTTTTCATTTTGATGCCTTTTGTATGCTCCAATTGATTCATTGGTTTATGTTTTCAGTTTTGATATGTGCTATTTTGAAGGCTGTCAACCTCTTCCTGTTTGTGTTAACATCCCAAAGCTTATTGGGGAAAATCCAGAAAGCACAGGGTTCCTTAGTAACGCAGTTGCTCTTCTCTTTTAACTGGATTATTGATTGACCCAATAGAGGAAGTTGCGCAAACATTTAAGAATGATTGAAAAAGTAGTGCATTATCTGGAATTTTGTATTTTGGAACTATTTAGCATTTTATATAGATAGACACCACTTTAAGAAGATAAAGTATATAAAGTTTTATCTAAAAATACAAAATCAGCACATTATGAGTTATATAAGAAGTACTAATTTTACTAGAGTTTTACTTCTATTTGGGAATAGAGCATTCTCTTAGAATCTTCTAAGGATAACCTGCAGAACCTATGGCCCTTTTTGGCTCTTTTTATTGACCCTAGAAGTTGGCTGCATCGCAATGGTTACTCTGACCTGGAGTCAATTATTTATAGAAAAAAGTTATTATTATTTACCTTTCCAAACAATCCAGTAGCTTATGGTAAATGAGATGCTCCTTTTCAGGAATAAAAACCTACATCGGTTGTAAAATCGTTTGTTATGCGCGTGGATAACTTGGTCGTGAATGATGCTGGTAGGTCACCTTTGAGCGCAGGATGCGACCGGGCCGCTGGAAACACGAGGTGAGCCTCTGGCTTCTGAGTTTCAGTCAGTAAGTTGACACACTTCCTATTCGCCCCATACTTTAATGCCCACAGCTTTAACAAGATGAGCAAGCTGAGTTCAGTACATAGGCAGTAATAACCTGGGATGCCAGGCCTCTTACGGAAGGAGGTATTCTTGCTGAATTCTTGGGTCTGTCATAGTACCTGCAACCCAGGTACCTGCCCTTAACCAGGAATCGAACCCATGACCTTTTAGTCTGTGGACCGATGCTCAACAGCTGAACCAA